TTCTATTTTTACATTATAAAGGAAGTATATTCACATTACCAAAAGAGAAAATGGGAAGCAATAAATATGAAAACCCATTTCCTACTACTCTACCTCCCTTGCTCTACCTGTTATTTGCCTGTAATATCACCCTCCACCCATGCCCTTCCTAGAAATGACTTGTTCCAATTCTGCATAACCTTCCAGACGTAGCTCAGGACTAAGACTTCCACAGAGTTTTTCCATTTATAAGAGGAAGTAAATCAGATACTGGAGCAATCAGGAAGCCATTGCAATGGCCCGTGAAAGATAATGGATCCCGATTTGGGTAGTAGGCATGTGGTGGAAAGAAGCCTTTCAGAGAGGCTTCACTCAAGAGGTTGCTACAGTTGGGACAGGGTCCCTGGGGAAAGGGGTGAGAAGAACCATAACTGGTTCCAGAGAAAATACGGAGCAGTGTACATACCAAGCAGTAATATATAAGCAAGCTTTAGAAACGAGTTTTTTTTTTTTTTTTAATTCAGGCATCTTAATTCACTATCAAAATTCCCCTCAGACTGTCTGATCCTCTGTCATTGGATTTTTTTAAATCACTGTGCTGAGCTTTGCCAGCAAGCTCCTCATTCCAGCCCTGGGTCTGAACTTGAGCTTCCTACCGGCCCCTAATCAACTCTGTTTCCTTCATGCTCTGATGCCTTCAAGTCTGGTACCATTCCCCTGGTTTTTCTCATTTAAAAGTGCTGAGATACTTGTCCAAGAGATGGGCATTAAGATTGTGGTCTGCTTTTAATGATGTGTAGCGTAAGCCCCTCTAGGGGCAAGGATGTACTGTGCTTGAGTAACTTTCTTTCCATTGTGAATGCTTCCCTAAAAGGCATAGTTTGTAAATTTCGTTAATGTGAAAAGGGAACATTCGGGCACCTTTTCTGTCCTGCTGATGTGTAGGGCTATTTTTATGTTTTGTTCTTCGCTCTTTTTCTGTGCTTGTGATTTTAAAGGTGCCAGACTGACTGCCCTCGAGCCTGTGTCCCCGATTTCTCCCAAGAATAGGAAAAATACGGGAGGCAGCAGAGCTGGTCATGTCTGGGTCCAGCATATTAGCCTGACCCACTCTGGAAGAATGTTCTCCAAATTATAAAGGAGAAGATTGTTCCTTATGAATACAGCCCATCTGCTTTCATAGCTGAGAAGACAAGTCCTTGTTGTGCCAGCACCAAGTTACTGCAGAGGTTTGGGATCTAGTCAAGCCCAGCCACTCATTCCCTTTGGAAAAACCAGAATGTTTTTCTCTTTCCCATCTCCACCTGTCCCAGTTCCATCCTTGAGTTGGGCTCAAATGCCTCTTTCTCCACAAAACCTTTCTGAGCCCCTCTCACACGTGATTTCCCTCCCACACCTCCATAGCACTTTCCCCTATGGCACTTGGCACCTTTCCCCATGGGATTGTAGAATGTATAGAGTCTTATAATGATTGTAAAAGGCACTGACATCGTCTAATCCATTTCTGTATATCACACAGAAGCAGAATATAGTACTGGCAAAGAGTAGATACCTGGGGAACGTTTGTTGAACAGAATGAAAATTTCAAAACGTGTCTTTTCAGCCTGACCTTTAGGGGTCTGCCCTCATCTTTCTCTCTAGTCAGTAATTGAGATTCTCTCCCATATCCTCAGGGTTAGCTAGCAAACTCTCCATAAACTATGTAGACTCAATATCTTGGCTTCCAGAGACTATACTTCGGGCCAGGCATGGTCTGGGTCAGACTCGCTACCTCCAGCTGTCTTATAGACCACCATGACCAGTAGACTGTAACATTTAGCCAGAATTTTTTTCCCCCAAGGTGTGGTCCACACATCACTAGTAGTCCCTGGTGGACTCTCAAGGAGCCCAGTTTAAGGTCTAGAATGGGAAAGAGTAATAAATAAAAATAATTCTGTTGACCTGAATTTAACAGATTTGAAATGTAAAATTGGAGTTTTCACAGGAATCCAGTATGCTCTTTTTTTTAAAGATTTATTTGTTTATCTTAGAGAGAAAGCAGGGGGAAGGTCAGAGGAGAGAATCTTTGAGGGGACTCCCCGCTCAGTACAGAGACCAACACAGGTCTTGATCTCATGACTCATGAGATCGTGACCTGACCTGAAACCAAGAGTCAGATGCGCCACCCAGGCGCCCCAGGAATCCAATATGCTCTTAATAATCATTACATTCTTTTTTTTAATTTAAATTCAATTAGCCGAGGTATAGTACATATAATGTTCAGTGATTCATCAGTTCAGTATAACACCCAGTGCTCATCACATCACGTGCCCTCCTTAATGCCCATCACGTTCTTAAAATTTGCACATATGTCACAAACCTCTGTTGATTGATGTTGTTTGACCAATGTTCACCAACAGTGCCATTCAGCTCAGAGTATTTTCATGTCATTAGTATTTTTTCTGCTGCTCCTAAACCTGTATTTTTCATTATCACTATTGTATTGCATTATTTCTTTAGTTCACCAAAAGAGATCAGTGATTTCAATATGATTCAGTAACAGCAGGAAAAATGGTAATAAAGATAATACCATAAATACCACTTTGGATTAATATTAAAAATGTAAATTTTGGTGAAAGAGGATTCCAATATAAATATTGGAAGTGAATCTGTAAATTCTAAGACAAATGTGGTAAGTCTGCACAAGCAGTTGTAAAAGAAACGTTTGAATACTAAATATGATGATGACTTTTTAAAAAAATAAGACTTTATGAATTGGTGATCCATTTGCCTATAATTGCAGGGTGTTTTCTGTGATGAAATGACAAATAGTGACATGAAACTTTGAGAAATGTAGCATCAACTTCAAACATAGCACAGTGAACTTTTTAGTAAACCAGTTAAGCTGTTGGTTTTTTTTCCCCTGAATAATCACAGAACAAGTGCCATATGCAATAACCTAATTTTACTAAAGGCAATTAAAGTCCACAATTTTAAAGGCAACTTTCTAAGGTTATACATCTCATGATAAAAACAGGTACAAGTTGGGTGCCTGGGTGGCTCAGTTGGTTAAGCGACTGCTTTTGGCTAAGGTCATGATTCCAGGGTCCTGATTCCAGGGTCCTGGGATCGAGTCCCACATCGGGCTCCCCCCTGCTCTGTGGGCAGCCTACTTCTCCCTCTGCCTCTGCCTGCCACTCCCCCTGCTTGTGTTCTCTCTCTGTCAAATAAATAAATAAAATCTTAAAAAAAAAAAAAAAACAGGTACAAGTTAACCTTGGGTAGAAGTTTGTAAAACAAGCCACAAAGTTTATTACAGAAGTTTTTATCAAATATCAAGAATATGATATCAGAACTGTAGACTATCACCTACAGTGGAGGCAGCTCAGTTTCCAAGAGTTTAACTCTTTTTCCAGTACTTGATATTTTTTATTCCTTAGGGGGAAAATGATCTGTAGTTTGGGTTATATTTTAAAAACACATTCAAGTCCTGCAACAGAGCATATAGAAATATTTTCCAGTGCCAATGCAACCAGAGAGGATTAGAAATTTGTTTGCCTCTTTTCTCCCAAGTTGAAACATTTAGCCCTCCTGTTTGTAGGTGTGAAATGATTGTCAATCCAACGTGATGGAGTGCTGAAAGCAGCCTTCAGTGAGAAATCTCCCCATAATGTCAGCTCTGTGTTCAATCCCAATGCACAGAATGAAGCAGAGGCCAGTTGACATACTGCTTAAAACCATGGACACTGAAGCTAGACTACTTAATTTTGAATTTCATTAACCATTTTTGTGACTCACTTTCCTCATCTGTAAAATAGGGACAATAGCAGACCTGTGACATAGGTGGCTGTAAGTATGAAATGAGTTAACATGTCTAAAAGCACCTTGAAAATGCCTGGCATAGGGGAAACACTAGGTTTGCTACAACTTATGTGTTAAAGCCCCCAGATTCTTGTTAACATTTCCAGTGACCTGTAATTATTTGTTAAGACTTTCTACTTATGGAAATAAAGAAAAGAAGGAAAACTGGATGTGGATCTGACCTCTGGCTCCAGATTCCCATGACAGAACCAGATAGAGATACAGACTGCAGCCAGCGCAGTGCCTCACGCTGACATAAATATTTGTCTTCAGTTGTTTTATTGTTCCTATTTAAAACAATGAATTTTTTGAAATCCAAATCTGATGTCCATATGTGGTCCAGATGCCCCATAAATCAGTTTAAGAATGCTGAAAGTTTACAGAACACTGGGCAGGACCGTGACAACCAGGACCGTCGGGACTCGAAACCCTAAAGTCGGTGGAACTGTTGCAGGTTTTAGGGATGTTCCAACTAGTAGCAGACTTGAAGGCAATATAAGTAAATTGTAATAACTTAAAGGATGTCAGGTGTAGGAGATGACACGTGTTTCACGAGGCCCTAGAAGACAGAACTAGAAGTACTGGGTAGCAGTTAGCTTGAGGAAGCAGTCTGGCTCAATATGAGAGAGAACTTTCTAGCAGTCGGAACTGTCGGGAAATAAAAGGGACTCCCTTTTGATCTATCACTGAGGGCTGGATGCAGAGGTTTTACAACCTGGACTTTTCTGAGAGGAGTTAAAGTTTGATTTTTTACCCAATTCCTTCACAGTCTAACTGGACACATAGACTCTCCAAGCAGAAAGACTTTCCTAGACGTGCCTTCCACTGCTCCCTTGCTGAGTCATGTTCCTCTTACGCTTGGTGTGAGATTAGAGGCACAGTACTGGCCTCGACATCAGGAGACCTGAGTTCTACTCTGTCCCTTTCTGTAGGTCCTTGAGCTCTGAGGGTCGACTCCTCAAATGCCTCATGGAAAATCCCCATCATGGCGGCCGTACCCGGACTAGGGGTGGCTATACCGGTGATCTTGCTCCTGGGACGGCGGTGGTGGGGGTGGTGTCAGTCTTGTTGCTGCTGTTGCCATTATGAGTCGGCTGTCTCCTCCACCTTGGCTTCCGTCCTAGGAGGACTGAAAGTGTTCCTTGGTGTGTTCTTAGGAGTCAATCCCTTTTGCCTTTCAGGCCGCTGTGCTCGCTGTGGGGAGAATGTCGTTGGGGAAGGGACAGGATGCACTGCCATGGATCAGGTCTTCCACGTGGACTGTTTTACCTGCATCATCTGCAACAACAAGCTCCGGGGACAGCCCTTCTATGCAGTAGAGAAGAAAGCTTACTGTGAGCCCTGCTACATTGTAAGTTCACATTCTGCTCTGCCACTCCTCCCCCCCTCCCCCCCGCCCCCCATGCTTTGTAAAGATGTCTTCTTTGGCAGAATGCCAATCACTCCAAATAGAATGTAGCCAGCGATCTCTATTTCTCCCCAGATTCCAATGTGTGAATGTGTGTGTGTGTGTGTGTGTGTGTGTGTGTGTAGATTGACATACCTTAATTTTTTCCAATTGTCCCCTGTACGTATGAGGTCAGAAAGGCATGTTAGGAGGATCTGCTCATTATCAATTAGTGGTCTGCAGAGAAGATCATCCCTTTGGGCCTTTTAAGCATGTACATACAAGCTCACACACACACCCCGGCATAGCAGGTTTCCCAAGTGGCATAGTTGTACCTCTTATTATTAGGTCTCACCCTGCATTTGAATTTGCCAGTATTTGTAAAGAAACCCTGCAGGACCTCTGGACTCCCCAGTGCTCTTTCAAATTCCTGGGCCCTTTGAATGGCCTCTTATCTCCCCAAAAGATTGCCTACCTACCATACCCAGCAGGGTTTCAATGCTGCAAACAGATAGACCCTTTATGATACAGGGAAATGAATTTTCCTTAAAGGAAAATGAAGAGTAATGCTGACTGAGCTAATAATTGAGGGGGTTTTTTTTGTTTTTTTTTTTAAGAATACAACAACTATATTTTAATAACATAGCCGGATGGCTAAAAATATGCTATCTTCATTTCTTACCAGGCTGCTTAAATCTACACATTAAGCTATCTTCTGATAGAGCAATTTGATAAACTGTTTTTGAACTTAAAAAAACATTTCTTTGCTGTCTTTCTGCATGATTTTAATCTGTTTAACACTTGTTAGTGGAAAAATTGGTGCATTTTTGCAAACCCACAAAGGAGGCATGGTTTGGCCTCAGTGCCCAGGCCTTTTAACATAAAGGAAGTTTTGGGTGCAAGGTCTCAGGAGTTATACATAGCTTTGCAGAACCCCAGGGTTCAAGTTCACTGCAGAAGTTTCTGGCCTTGTCAGTATCTTCCCATGACCTGCCCGCTCTAACTCATTGCAGCCCTGGAGTCCGCAGCACAGATCTGAAAGTTCTTCAAGATTAAGATATTGCAGGATTCAATATTGTTTTGCATCTCTTCGGTTCAATTTTATTTCGTTATCCTCCCCAAAGGAAACTTAACTTAAATACATACTGCATCGTACTAGTGCCACACAATGCTGGAGCTGGAAACCAACTCCTCTTTTTAGAAGTGAGAATACAGAAACAAGGAGAGGAAGAAAATGGCCTCTCCATCCCATCATGGGTGTCATAACCAGGGCTATATTCAGTCCTTCACACCCCTGGTCCCATAGTCTCTGCTGACAGCACACATTTTTAGTTTGTCTAGAACAGAAACAGAAACACTATAATGTTCTATTGATCTGGAAGGGGGCAGTTACATATATGAGGGAAAGTCTACTGAACAGAAGCTTACCTCTTTAGGAAATAAGAATATTTCAGATATTGCCCTTTGAAATCTTTACTGAAAAGAAAAACATTACAAAATCCCCTGCCTTTGTAAACAGACCGCATGGACAATGGCTTAGGGCCAGCACGTGAAATTACTTATTGCAGTGAGCTCTGTGACAACGATGTGCACAGAGCCTCTGGAAGCACCTGTGGCCCTTTGTCCTTATACGAAGTGATTACACCATTGCTGTGTTTTGTGTAGCTCTGTGTCTATCTTTCATCCTTTTTTTGGACTGCACTGTTGATTTTTTCCTACTTTAATGGTGCTCTGGTGGCAGTCTCCTTTATTTTTTCTTATATCCCTTGGGGCTAAGGATCATATGAGCAATATTGGGAAACAGTGTAACATGGTGTGAGGAACATGGTTTGAATTTGATTTCATCACTTATAAGGCTTTGTGTCCTTGAGAAAGCTCTTTCCAAGCCTCAGTCCCCCCATATATATAATGGGAGTGATTGCAGGATTTTCTCCAAAGGCTTGTGAAGATGAAATGAGGCATTGCTGTAAAGCACATTTGGCCTGCCCAAGGAATGGTAATGGAATGCATGTTATTCTGAGATGAATTTTGGTAAGATTTCTGGCATACTTAGTATTTCTGAATATGAGGACCTTACATGTGCCGTGAGACTCCTTGGGCTTTAGGGAATTGTTTTAACCTCTCAGGCATACCCCTGTCCCATTTTTAAATGCTTTTCTTGCCCTCCTGGGTGTGTAATAAGACTGAAAAAAAGTGCCATCTGGCCTACTCACAGGTTTCTACAATGTGTGGGCTCAGGTTTCGATCTCCGGGCCAGGTATAGGAGCTCAGTGATTCTTGAGTTGTAGTTCCTTCAGCTTTGGTTACCCTATTGCTTAAGACTGTGCTTATGACAAGGAAGAGTATCTGGGAAATATTTAACCACATCCTCGGAAGAGCTGGGTGAATTCAAACAATGGAAATTCCTACTGTCCTTTTTGATGTCTCTCCCTCAGAAGAACCTTTAATCAAGATTTTTCTTTATGAGATCTATCCATGGCGACTCTAAAGTGTAATTTAATTCTTATCAGAATCCAGTTAAGCTGTATTCAGAGACCCTTGTTCAGTATTGATTTGAGAGTTCAGCACAGCCCTCAAGCTCTCAGATGGATGTGTTAGCATTTTCATTTCTTTGGGACTTTTCGTTAAGTCCAACAAGCTGCCACACTAGAAATGTAAAGAGTTTTCTTTGGGGGTGGGATTGGGGAAGCTGGGAGACTAAAATGAAACAAGTTGGTTTTGAAGACAGAGCGTGTGGTAAGGAGGATCCTAGGGCTGTATGTCTGTCTCTTGGAACCAAAGCCCTTCGAACAGAAATACCTGTGATGCCATCCAGTCAAACTGCCTCAGGTTCCATTGGTGGAAACTGATGTCCGAGAGACATCCTGTGTAAACAAAGTGTGGCGAAAACCCAGGCCCTGCACCTCAGTCAGTGAGCTTTTTTTTTTTTTTTTTTTTTTTGGTAATAGAATCAGAATATTCACGATCGTGGTTTAGTTCATTATTTCTGTGTAAAGACCACCCATGTCCAATGCTCTGAGTTTAGGAAGGAGACTCACCTAATATAAATTTAATTTCTTCTTGCCTAAATTAATTAGTGATCAACTTAGATCATATTTAAATTGACCATTTACATAATTTGGGGGGAAAAATATACCAATTACGTCTTCATCTTTGCTTCACTGATTATTCAGACTTTCCTATTGTCTCTTGAATCCTTAATCCTTGCACACACATAACTGTAATTAAACCAGTTTGGTTCTGTAAGGCACTATAATTCTCTTTAATCATTTCATATATGCTTTCTTTTGTGTTTTCTGTTGGTTGACTTAATATAAATATCTATATAGCTTTCCACTGTTAATAACCGCTATTTTTTAGTTTTTTTTCTGTTTAGTTTTGCATTATGTTTGCATACTACATTTTAAAGCTCTTTGCCACTTAAAGGTATTGGGTGTATTGTAAATAACATGCCTATAAATAGCTGAGTAAAAGTTTTATATTCTTTTACTTTGAATTTTTTTCCTTAGCATAAATTCTTTGATTTATATTACCAAGTTCACTTTGCAGCAATTTGGAGAACTTTTGCTCGATTTCTTTAGAAAGATTTTTCAAATTCACAGAACCATCAGCAATGTGAAGCCATATGTTAAACTCTAACCTATCCACTATTGAAGAAGTTTATTTATATTTACTTTGAACCAATTTAATAAGTGCCTTATGTAACAGTTATTTTATTTTTTTAAAGATTTTACTTAATTTATTTGAGAGAGAGAGAGAGAGCATGCTCGAGTGGGGAGAGGAACAGAAGGAGAGGGATAAGCAGACTCCGCGCTGAGCACGGAGCCTGATGCAGGGCTCCATCCCACGATCCTGAGACTATGACCCAAGCTGAAATCGAGAGTCGGACACCCAGCTGACCAAACCACCCAGGCACCCCTGTAATAATTATTTTAATTTAAGTTTGCATAGTTATTAACAAAATGAATAAGATGCTTTTCAACTTTGGTGATCTCTTAAAAGCTTGGTTTTGATTATTTTTATGGATTTGTGTAAATGAACAGATTGAAAGTACGAGCACTAAGCTTCCTTAGTGACAGTAAGGTGATATAAATAGAATATATTGCTTCTAGACCTTGCTCTCTTGGTGTGACCTTGGGTAAGCCATTTAATTTCCGAGTACCGGTATCCTCATTTCTGAAAGGGAGATATTAACTTCTTCCCTGTCTTCAAAGACAAGGAATGAACAGTTGTGTTGTTTTATACATTACGAAATTGTTTACTAACAGAAGGACTTAATCCGTTAAAAACATTATTATCGTTGCTTTTTGCCTTAGCATAATCTGATACGATTTAGAAATCCTCTACCTTTGGGGGTAATTTCATAGCTACAGTTGCTATGGAAATACTGAAATAAATGGACGTCATGGAAGGACGATGAGGACATACATGAGAAGAAGAGGTTCATGCTTTGCTTGAGAAGATTTTCATGTTGCTGTGAGTATGAGGGGCAGTAGCCGTGCCTCCCACTTAATGTGTTCTTCTGTCCTGAATGAGACAGGTTTAGCCACAAGTGTAGATTAACAAAAGAACCGCCGTGTCCTTAGCATTGCCAGGGCATCTGGGCCTGAGACGTAGCGCATCCGCGATTCTCAGCAAAAGTCTGTTTACGAAATGGCAGCCAAGGATCTTCCCCTAAACCAGGGCTCTTACTCAGAGTGGATCAAATCCAACTTCTAACTCTCCAAACGGTGGAAGTTGGTACAGACGTTTTTATTAGAGTTAAAATCCAAGTGATTAAAAGGCCTCAGGAAATCGGAGGCCAACTCCACAGGAGACTAAACACTGCAAGGTTCCTGAGCTTGACACATTAGTGGCCAACACGCTCACGGCCTTTTGCTCCCTTAAGTCACTCAATGGCCACAGTTTCCTACCTCTGCAGGAAAGTTGTCCTTTTATATGCTCAGTTCCTCTGAATAGTGTTT